CCCTGTGCCCAGGTGTGCATGTGTGTGGAAGAGAGGGTGGTTTTACCTGTCCTGGATATCCCTGCACCCAGGTCCTCTAGCTGGGCAGTGCAAACTCCAGCACAGCAGGACTCCTTTGGCTGAGCAGTGTAAAGGGCTGCTGCAGCCCAGCCGCCCCCCTGACACTGGTCCTCCTTGTGCCTTCTCCCACCCCCAGTGCCTGCCCCTTCCACTGCTTTCCCCCATAACCACTGGCCACTGCTTCTTCTATATGGTGGTGGCTCTAGCTCCTGCCCCAGCCAGGCAGCAGAAATGGCAGCAGCTCCAGCTACAGTCCTAGCCTGGACCCTGAGGCAGAGCAGCTCCTGTGCCACTGAATGGTGGCACTCCATACTGCCCCTGGGCTGCAAACACCACAGTCTCCCCTTGCTCCCCTCCTCCACACCATGCAATCTTCCCTATACTTGCTGCTTCTTGCACTGCACGATCTCCCCTAGCTTGGGACTGGGGCTAGGGCTGGAGATAGAGACAGAGTCACGGCAGCCGCTAGTCTGTATGCAAATCCAAGATGAGGTTTCTTTTCCCCCCATGTTGAACTAGGGGCAGAAACCTCACGTTGGATTTGAGTAAATACTTCCTGAAATCTCTCCCTTGTCTGTTCTGGAAACTGGAGGACCAAGAACCTCAAGAGTTCGACTCATCCCCACATCTCCCTTTACAATTTTAAATGTTTTTTATACCTAAGAACATAATATACAGTTAAAAAAAAATTCAAACCTTATGAAGATCCCTCTTTAATGCTATACTCATCCATGGTAATTTCTATTGTTCAAACATTTAACTTATATGAGCGCACTTACTTATTATTAACCAAATCATATTTTATTCATTCACCACAGACAATATGTCAGCTTTGAAGAACATCTGAACAATAAAGTAAGTACAAAAGTTGGGAGTGTAACAACAGAATACCATTTGGGAGGAACAGGAGTGACACCAAATATAGTTTCTTTGACTACACAGAATTGTTAGTATCTGCAGTAAAACACAAATTAGAGTTTATCCCGTAATCTAAGATCAAACAAAAAACCTTTTTAAGTGAGATAGTTTAGGACCTGATCCAACTCATCCTTTGTTATGCTTGTACTTTATGGTATGGTTCAGGTATCCAGCTAAACCATCAAATAAAAAAAAGCTGCATTGTGTCATGTACTATATGAATATGGTCCTACAGACTTTTCCAGTATCTTAGAAGGGTTTAGTTTAAAATATCAAAGGAAATATTTTTGTAGTATTTTCCCAGCTCCTTGGACTTATAGAGAGAGAAGTGACATAAACCATTACTTAGTAGGCCCCCAAAGTAAGTTTTGGAGAGACTAGTTTGAGAGATTTGAGTTTAATCATAAACTCCACCAGCAGTAACATCTCTTCACGTCTCCTGTAGTCCCACCCATGTTGCTCATCAGAGGTGCAATTTTTCATGCTTTGTCCATGTACAAAAGTTTCGAGGCTTTAGTGGTATGTCCAAACTGCTACATCCAGTTGGCGTACCATTATAATTGCAAGGTAGAAGGGGTGGGATGTTCTACTTTCCAGCTTCATTTTCTGACTTCCTGCACAGGAGAGAGTTTTCTAATTGAACCAGCTGTTTGCACAGGGAATGCGATTTAGTTCAAAAGCCAACAGCTCATTTCTTTTTATAAGGATGTCCATGCCTTCATTATATCATCTGTTCAATCTAGGATGCATCCCTTGGAAGAATAGTTTAACCATCATCCAATAATCATATTCCCGCATGGATCAATTTCTCTTTGTTGGGACCTTCATCCTATTGCAACGTATATTATTTTGTGGCAACTCAGATACTTGTCCTCTTTTGATAGATATCAGTACCATGCTTGGTACAAAAAAAGCCATATAAGATGGTCTCCTGGTCACTGTCGTTATACAGTTTTGTTTTCCAAAATCCTTTCTCCCCTTTTTATTGTGCAACTTTACCTGATATAGTTTCTGCTTCCTGACAGTTTTTTGCATGTTACAGTGTTCACTAATGAGATCTGATTCTGAAGTTGTTCTACCAACTGTTCTATTAGTTGTTTTAATATCTGGTATTTTATTCAGCAAGGCCTTGAGTTGCATTTATCAAAGCCTCAGTTGATTTTTCATGTTTCTCCATCACCAGTTAAAATTGATCCTTCCACAGGTCGTGGCATCTACCTAAATGGGAGTTTTTAACTATATTACCAGTTTCCCATGGGATAGACTTTTTCCATACCATATCACCAAAGTTATAGACACTCACATGTTCTGTAGTACCAGGCAAATAGCAGGATATTTACCAAACATTCTCATAGTCTCTCTATAAAATTGAAAGCCTAAGGGGTCTCAGATCTCTGAACTGTACTTTTGCTTGGGAGTGGCTGGAACAATCTATACTGACAAAAGACAGCTTTGCTGGTGTAGCTGTACAACTGAAGCTTTCCAAGGGTTAACCTCTCCCAAGGTTGGGCCCATGACTAGTGCAGGAGAAAGAGAGAGGTAGGGTCCACTCTACAGAGACAAACTAGTTCCAGGGAACCAGTGTTGGACATGGACACTGTTTACAATGGGGTTTTAACAGATACCAGCTAACAGGCTTGAAACGATATCCTTTACCGTCAGACAATGATTAGACTGCTTGGAGCTCTGAGCAGCTGACTCCATCCATCCAATTGCAAATGCTTTAGGTCTATGTCAGATGGTTAGTTTGTGCCTAGGTTGACTACAGATAAGCTTGGTCTCTTGCAATGGACTTAAAGATTAATGCAGTAGTTCTCAACTTTATTAGATTCAAGGCAGCCCCCCCATAATGTTTGAAAATTGAGACCTCCTTTCAAAAAGTAATTAATTTACATTGCTTGCCTCCTTGTAGAGGCTGGGCAGTAGGGGTGGGAGGAGTGGCCAGCTCGAGCCTGAACTTTTCTGCTAACCTTCTTACATCTTGTGGCACCCTTCAAAGGATCTTGCAGCACCCCAAAGTGCTATGGCACCCTAGTTGAGAATCTCTGAATCAAATGCATGTTAAACTTGGTTTCAGGGAACCAAACATGGTCTGTGCCATTTATACAGCTGTGGCTTAAAGGATGTAGAGTAGAAGCTGACAGGTATTGAATCCCTAGGGGCAGAATGGCTAGGCATTGCATGGACCACATAGTTATAAAATATAATTGTGAGCTGGGGCTTTAACCACAGTGGAAGGAAGGATCTCTAGCTTTAAAATGGAAAGATACATGTTTGGAAGGGAAATAATTGACATTTCACAAGATTAAGTTTCTGGGTCTCTTGGGCTACAGACAGACATTCAAAAAGCCTGAGCCTGAATTGATTCAATCTTTGCAGGTTAGTTTAACTTGCAAAGCTTGAACCAATTTGGAGGTGGATAGACATTCCCTTTTCATTCCAGAAACGCAGGCACATGCCTGCAGTGGCTCAGGCAAGAAGTTAGGGAGTCATAAGCACAGTGCTGAGCAGAGGGGGCACGTGGCCTGGCTCTGGTTGGATGCTCTGCTTAGGGAGCGGTTCCTGCCCCTCCTCCTGACCAGTGTGGGAGCCAGCAGGGAGTTGATAACAGAGCATTGAGTTATACAGCACAGAGTTACACAGGGAATTGTTAGCATTTATTACCCCATCAAACAGAACAAAGCCTTTCTCCCTTACTTCAAGTTCTTCTTAAACAGTTTTTTTCAAGGAAGGAATGGAGGGACATTACCAGCTACCTGTTGATTAGCTCCAACAAGCCCTAAGCCAACACTGTCCTATCTACCTTTGTCCCATCTCCCACAGCATGGACTGTAGCCAGCATGTAGTATGCTAGCTAATGCTGAGAGGTATCTGTGCAAGGCACAAGGGAGGGAGAATCCCTGCTTCAGCAGAGTAATGAGGAAGGTGGGGGAGTAGGAGGAAGCCAGGCAGACCCCTTTGTACATGCAGTCTCTGCCTGAGCTGCAGCCAGGGAGCAGAGGGGAAGGGTGCCCCGCCCAGCCCAGAGAGCATGCTGGTGACTCCGATTTAACTTAAAACCAGGAAGATGTCCGAGACAGACATTGCATAAATAGGTTTGACCCAAATCAGTTAAGTCTGATACTACATTCAGCCAGGTATATCTCAAACCACTTTAAGCCATTTTCAAACTGGTTTATGTGCACTGAACATCTGTTTTGTTACAGGTTTAAACCAGTTTCTGATCACTTAAACTGGTTTATGTGTAATCTCTGTCCCTAGCCTTGGTGAAAGACAGGGATTGTGGGTTGAAGCCCCAGATTTAAAGTGCTTCTGGACTATATTTAGTGATGCAGCAGCTAAAACTCCTAAATTTCAACTTTAAAAAATATTTTTAAACTTTCACATTTCTAACTTAAATAATTATACTTTATGCTGTCCTAACACGTCTATTTACTTAGAATCTTAACTCTTAGTCTAAAACTTTTGTTTAGAGTTTTCCGTCCTCTTCCCAAATAATCTTGGCATTGAAAAACTGGAGTTGCAGAGCAACTGACTTAGTATATTTTGATGCCCTAGTTAGAATTCCCAGACCAAAATAGCAAAGCATTCAGATCAAATGGATCAGAAGACTGTTCAGAAGTACAGTTGTGTGTAGTCACAAGGTCATACAACACTCAGAAAAAAAGTCTGCTCCAGATAATTATGACCAAGTTTTCCATAACTCCCAGAAAAGTAGGGGGGAGGGGGGATATGTGTAAAGTCAGGTCTCAATAGAAACTGCTATGCTCAAGTGATTTGCTGAAGTGGAGAATCTTCTCTGACTCCACTAGCAGTTCATTTTTATGAATTTTTTTCTGATACTACTAAAATACTTGAAAGAATCTCAGAACCATGTGTAGGGGCTTCTGCTGTGTAAGGCAAGAAGTTCTTATACTGTGTAACTAATCCTTTCGTTAACATTTCTATCTTTCTTACTTCATCTGTATAATTCATGACTTACTGATGAATATCATACTTTAAATATCACAATTAAGCCAATATGCTTTTCCATTGTTTTACTGAAACTGAAAAAGGATTCTGTACCAAAATGTACACAATTTAGTAATAGTACAAAATGTTATTTCTGCAAGACAGAATGTCAGTTATATTCACCAAAATGAACACTGAACCAACCACTTATTGCCAGCTCAGTGTTACTTTAAATAAATCACTGGCTGAACACAGAAACAAAGCAGTTTCAACTTTGCATAAATAAATGGTAACTATTAAACAACAATACTTCAGGAAGATAAACATTCATGATATTTACATGCTACCACAGCATACCTAGCATGTAGTATGTCTTTGTGCTTACACGTTAGCTTTATGAAACCAATGCATTAATATTATCTGATTTACTACAAACTAATACTTCATGATTTATACCAGACGTGCATGTTAAGAGACTAACATTCCCTTATCCCCCTGGAACACTTCTGCATGCCAGTAAGAAGCATGTTACCCAACTTGCTAAAACCATCCTTCCAGCTAAGGACAAAGGTTCAAGCCCATTAATAGTATGCTTGCCCCAACGGGTTAACTCTGTAGCATAGCTTTCCTAGTGGCAAATCAACCCAAAATAAACCTGGGTTTCCTGCATTACTTTAAGGAACACCTGAAGCTACCTCACTGGTCCGAATACAGTACTTTTGTGTACAATTGTGTTTGATGTATTAGCTTTTCTCAGTCGTTTCAATGGATTCCCATACTAAGCATTTTTCATAAGACAGACAATTTAGACTTTTTAGAAAATAAATATTTTTTTCACAAAAACACTTAAAAAGAATCCAACATAAAAACATCTGTAATATTAAATAACAGCATGGTTTTCCTGGCTTTATTTTTTCTCAAGTTAAGCAGTAGCTATGCACCTATTCCGAGGGAATAAGTGTCAAACACCAGAAGCCATTCATGTGCAAAAACACCATACTTTAAAAGATAAGATTTTAAAACTGTAAACATCTGTTCTTGACTCCACTCACTCAAATCCATTTCTATTTTATAAAACTGTGTATCAATACAGTCAAAGCTTTAAATGGCCCGATGTATCATTTTTATAGGTGTATCAGTTAAGTTTTGAAAAAACTCAGGATATCCTATTTATACCTGAACAAAATGCCTGGAGAGTTAAGGACAATGCTTTTTTATGTTCCAGTACAGAATAATGTCAGATGATTCTGTACTTTGTAAAATAAGTACTTTCCTTAACAGAAAAATAATGCAACCCAATTATAATTTTAATGCTGCTTAAGTTGAACAGCAGCAAGGGAAATACAAGTACAGTAATGTATCTACCAACTAATGTGACTTAGTAAAATTATCCCATAGCCTAATACCTAAGCTCAAAATCAGAACAAATAAAATTAAAATTAGGAATTCATCAATAGCAAGTAGGCTGCTATCACTTTATATTTAAAAACCACTTTGTTAACCAGAAAACAAAGATCACATGGACAAATACATACAATCCAATTTTAACCAAATCATTTTTTTAAAACAACGTACCTAACATAACTTTTCATCTTGGTTATTACTTTACAAGTTAACATGTTTTCAACCCATAAAGACACAGGACTGACCCTTTGGAAAGCAATGAATAAGATAAGATGAATCCCTAGAACTCTAAAAGACATGTTCAAGACATCTGAAATAGCTCCATAAAAGGAGCCATTTTTAACCACTGAAGATGTTCAAAGGCAGAATGAGTTTCATTGATCACAAGTCTAATGATCCTTTTAATTATCCTCCACAGAAATCATTTTCTTGAAGATGATTTTCCTTCTAAAATTTAGATACTGTGTAGTGTTCCTTTACATGTGATCAGTTTCTTTAACAAGGCTTAACTTCAGCTTTTCCAATATTCAAGCAGCTTTCTTGGTGCAGGTTCCTTGAAGATCCTGTAGATTTATTTTTGACCTAACAAAAATAGTAAATAAGGCATTTGAAGTCATTGCTCTGTGGTATATTCTCTCTCATACAATTTTTATATATTGTGCTGTATTTGGGGGGAGGGGAAGAGGTGATGATGCAGAGAATGGTACAGAAGCTTTGCATTTCTCACCTATTATGGATCATGTGGCTTTTGACTAGATGCCCTGCTGCCAATGCTGCTATTAATGATAACTCCCCTGCCATTACTGTGGCGCACACAATTTTAGCAAGTTGACGTGCATTTTCACCAGGGTTATCTTGGCTTGCCCCCTGAACCCCTAGCATCTGTAGATAAAAAACAGTAAAGTTACACTTTAAAATCCAAGCACCAGTCAGTGTGCCTATTTGTTCATACAGAAAAATATTCTATTTAATTCATCACACCATACAAATTAGCTTTAAGTCCCTCAGATACTAAAAAGAAATGTTTAGTTTTAGAATAAACATATGTATATTAATTAATTGGCCAAAACATCTTGGGCGCCTGTAGACTCACTCGGACGTGAGCCGTCTCAATTAAATGAATCTGCTAGAGCATGCTAATTAGCACGCTACAGCAGCCTCAGCATCTCATGTATTCAGCATCCCCGCACTTCAAAATGGAGGCAGGGGCACTAATTAATGCTTGTCAAACGAGTATTAGTTAAAGCACCTCTGCCATCATTTTCATATGTGGGACACTGAATACACAAGATGTTGCAGGCAATTGAATTAGAGCAGCTCCTGAGAGTCACTCTAGTTAAAGCGCCCCTCCACCCCCAGCCTGGACTTGTAAAGATTCCCCTTATTCCCTTATGTCTACAACTTTGGAAGAGACATTACTGAGGCACACTATACAACAGAATTAGGAGAAGCTAGTTTAAAAAAAAGACAATTTCCTTTCATGCTCTGTACCTGCAAGCAGGCTTGCTGTGGTAGTAAGTTGGTCCCTCCACCAATAGTTCCAATTTCTATAGAAGGCATTGTGCAGCTGATATACAGATCTTCATTAGTGGGACCAGTTAGCTCCATCAGAGTGATGCAGTTTGAGCTGCCCACATTCTGTGCTGCATCCTTATATTAATATAGAAAAAAAGAGAAGAGAACTTCTAGGTAAGTTCTAAATGTTGTGAAGCTAGTTAGTCGTATTTAAAAAAAGTGAATATACTTAGTTAATATAGTCAATTCAAAGAACTTACCTGCCCACAAGCAATGTAGATGGCTGTAACAATGTTTGCTGCATGAGCATTGTATCCACCTATGCTACCAGCCATTGCAGAGCCCACCAAGTTCTTGTTAATATTAACTTCAACCATAGCTTCTGTAGTAGTCTTCAATACCTGGACAAAAGCATAAGCTTTTACTGTACTTCTAATTAGAGGGCAGTAATAATCCCCTATTGTATCCTAGTAGAGCCCCCTTTAGGCTAATTCCATGGGAGTTAAATTTGCCTCAAAATAAATAAATAAATACATTTGTCGTTCATTTAAGAAAGGAGCCATTGCAGCTGCTAGGGAAGATTTCCAGTAAGAACAGCATGCAAACCACTGCAGCAATGCCTGCCACAGTCTACATATAGTCCAAACACAGGTAACATGTATGTCAACAAGAACAGCAACAAACATGATTTGGCAGAAACATCACATTAACAATCTGAGTCTCAGACTGCTTCTAACACAGCTAGCAAACATCTTAAATCACCCTCATCAGTATACCAAAACCTTCAGCTTCCTTTTAATTTTTATAACTATGTTATATATTTGAAATACCAAATTCTGCCATACCCTGAAAAAATCATACATTCAAAAGCAGTAGATAATCTGATATTTAAATATTAAGTCACAACAAATACTTTAGTGACTGATGAATCATTTTTATTTTTAAATATAATTAAAAACAAAAAACCCTTCTGATTTTATCTGAAGCTCTTAAAAAATTTCCAATCTTGTGCTCAGGAGTGCAGCAGAGTGTAGGTCTGCTGCTACAGTTTAGCACACATTTACCACGAAGTATTAGTTTGAAAAATTATATTAAGAAATGAGCTTTACGAATGAACTTTAATTGGTAACTGTATAAATTCAATCAATTTGTATTTTCTGAACTGAGGGAAGCAATTTGATACCTCTTTTCAAAGCACTACAGAAATGTAAACACTAAAAATGGAAAATGATTACTGCAAAATGAAGTGATGAAATTTAGATAACTGGATTAAACAGTACAAATTTCTTAAGTGTGAGACCTATCAGACTGTGAGATACTTCTTTGCCTTGCTTTTGGAGACTCTCACCACTTACAATACTGATGTAAAAGCAAAGTGAGCTGTAATGCATGCAATTTACAAATCTGTTTCAAGGTTCGTTCATTCTTTTTTTCAGTTTAAATCAAAACAAGCTAAAAACAATTAGTTTAAAAATGCTTTTTATGAAATAAGTAAAAGTAAAGTACTTACTTCTCTGACAACCTTGGCAGGAATAATTGCTTCACAGACAACAGATTTCCCTCTTCCCTCTATCCAGTTTATGGCAGCAGGCTTTTTATCTGTACAATAGTTACCACTAACAGCCAAAACTTGGAGATCAGGAAACTCTTCATGTAATCTTACCAGTGCCTTTTCTGTGCCCTGTTAAAAGAAACAATCTCTCTGAAGTTTAACCCTTCACAGATGCATAACAAAATAGTAGAGAGTTTTACTACTCATCCTGAAGCCAGTAAAGCATCAGCACCAAACTGAGCCTCTAGGTTTAGCACGCAACAGTGCTGCTCCAGAACAACACTGAAAAGGAACTATGCTTTAGAAAGGGTGCTTGTTTCAGAACCTTGGACTCTCCTCTTGGGACATGGGGTGCTGGCATACAGGAATGACAATCTTCATTCTATCTGTTCCTATATTCCTGGTTAATCTGGGGGAATAAGGAAGACACAGACATTTCTCATCCCCACAACGCACACTAACAGAGGACTAGAGTGCACTGGCTATTAGTGAAGTACAAACACAATATGGATTGAAAATACTGGCTCCATTTTGCTTCTTATTTTGGAACTGAGGTATAAATGTCTGAGTTCTGCATCCTCCATATGCTAGAAAAGCAGTCAAGTTTGTATAATTTTCAGTGCCCTTGTGGAGCACCTGCTCATTTGCCAACTCCTTGATGAGATCTGTACGAAGGAGAACTTCGCTGCATCAACAGAAAGAGCCATCACTTGTACACAATTCTGGAAAAAACATCTATTTTATGACAAGGACATAAGAAGTGCCCCTGTGTAGCCAAACCTCTTTATGTGGATATGGCCATGGTTTGTCTTTTCTTGTAGATATAAATCAGCACAATAGAACCTGGATGGTTTGTGAGTTTAGGTTCCTGAGCTCCCTGCAAAGATGAGAATTTGCAGAACAGCCAGAAGTTTACATGCAGCTACAACCAACAACTATACAGGACTCCTGAAGTGGTCCTACTGAGTAAAGAGGTACCCTTTAAAGTAAAAGCTACTAATGCTTGTGCAGCTTCTTTAATGTATTGTGAAACCTCTGATTCATCCAATCCAGGTTCTAATGTATTTAACTTGCATCTCAAATAGTGGATAAGCTGTTCTGGCTGTTCAGGCCAAAACAGGATCGTCAATAATTTCCTTAGAAAGAACAAGCATAACAACAGATTTTAATTACAGAAGAACAAATTTTTGATCCAAGTGAGTCAAAGAAACATATCTATAATAAAAAAGGCTACTTTAACTCTCTTTTAAATGTCCTACTCTTGTTTATGGTCAAAGAGGTAAAGTCAAACCATTCTGTGTTCTTACTCATCCAAATAGACATATGGGAAATTAAGTTCTATGCACACCATGAGCAGGGCACACTTTAGTTACTAACCCTTGGTGCTGACTGGCACAAAATTCACATGAGCAGTCAGTGTTAAATAGCAACAACAACATGTATATGCCTCAGCAACTTGTGGAATACACACCAGGTCAAAAGTAAAAAAAAAACCTACAGAACTTGTACCGCAACTGATGGGCTGACAGACAGTGAATGTGTTGCATTACTGAAGAAACAGCTAGCCAGTATACAGTGATGGGGAGGGCTTGGGGGGGAAGCCATATCCTTCATCATAACTTTGATAATATTTTTTGCTAAGAGCTGCAAGTATGAAACCAAAGAGCCACTTTATGACTTGGGAACTGCAGTCTCAGTACCATTAAATTAGCTCTCAGTTCATTCACCAACTTTAACACCTTCTCCCCGCAACACAGACACATTTGTTTAAAAACTATTTAGAAATGCAGAAACAGAAACTAGACCTTACTTTTGAGAGCATGTTCATTCCCATTGCATCCCCTGTTTTGGACTGAAAACGGATATAAAGGTTACGACCAGCCAAACTGATGTGAAGCTTCTGTAGGCGGGCAAACCTGTAAGAGTCAAATGACAACACAGGAAATATTTCCTTTCTCCCTTATCTCCATAAGGGCTAACTGATATTCAGGTACAAATGACTGATAACCCATAATTAATGGTAGATAACCCTGCTAACCACAATCTGCTCCTCCTCAATGTAGAAAGGGAGGCCATCAGCATCAATTATCAGGCATAGAGTTCTCTCAAAAGAAGGGCTTAAAATGGACTAGTCCTGAGAGTATTTTTTACTGCTTTTTATGCAACTTTATTTCTTCTTGCTATGACTAAATTGCTGACTGTCCTGTGACATGCAACACTTATTAATAATGCAAATGTTAACCAGATAGTAAACATTAATAATGTTGCTCCATTTTCAGACCAAAATTAGGCAAATCCCAGATAGGAACATGATAATTTCTTGCATCATAATATAAATAGACACAATTTGGAGCTTTCTAAAATGAAGCATGCTCACACACATTTTATCTCTATCTATATATCTCTCATCTAAAATGTGAAATGCTTTACAGGAAGTTATACTAACCTGCTTGTGCTGTCAAAGGACTCTTTGATTACTTTAAACCCTTCTGAGTTTTCAAGCCAAGCCTTCACCTGTGCAGCAAGACAGGCAGTGGGTAGTCTTACAACAGGTCCTCTAGTCATTCCATCTCCTAAAACACAACTGCTTGCTCCTCCACTAAGCTAAGACCAAAAGGAACATGAACACGATTATGAATGACCGATAATGTTATAGAAACAAAATATATAGTGACAGTTTTTACATAAATTGATAACTTTGAGGCCAGGCAAGCAGCTAACCAATTCCGTCAGGTACTCACACATATTGCTCTGCACCCTCTGTTCGTACTTGCGACTAGACACCCTTCTGTTGTTGCCATTGGAACTTGAAACTCTTTGCTATCCAGAAAAAGAGGCCCGACTACACCTACAGGGATGGGCATGTATCCAATCACATTTTCACAGCAAGCTCCCATTACCTTAGAAATAAAGTTAAACATAACTGTCATTAAAGATGTTACATTGTTATAACATACTTCATGAACAAGTCTGTTTTTTCTTTATCCACAGAGCAGATTCCCATCCCAATGCTTATAAATAAATCAAACAAGTTACTTATATACTACCAACTAGCTTATTCATACAATGGAACTTTGTTTTAATGCATTTTATGGTGTTTTTATATTTGCACAGTTTACTGTACTTGTAAAAGAATAATAGTAATCTAGTGTAGCTAACTAGACTGTTTAATTCTTGAAGCAATGCCTGGTAATGAATAAAACTACATTTTTTTATGTTAGTGACTGCTATGTCCTTGTATCTAACAGAAAGTGTTACTACATTACATGAAAACTGCTCTAAATGGACTGTCTGACTTTGTAAGATTTTCCTTTCAATTAAGACTAAAACTCATTTTTCCATTCATCCTACTGAACTCATCTGTAGCATTAACAGAATCCCATGTTAGTGGGATTAGAGACCTGCATATAGTTATCTGTTTGTGTCAAATAGCCAAAATTATCTAGATTCCCAAGATTTAATTTAAAATAAATTACCCTGTACTACACTGAAGGTTCTCACAACAGTAAGAACTGAATGCAAATCAGTGTAATCTGCCATTTTTGAAGTATTTGTACTGAATCAGATCCCAAACTAAATCAAGGTCAGAGAGCTCTCTGATAACTACTCAGAAATTATTGGTATACATGAATTATAATAATTTTGAAAAAACTGGGATAACAGAAAAGTTTCCTTGCAAATTAATTCATTCTTACTTGTCTACATCATCCTTACCAAAGAATAATTGTAATTCCTGTAAGGAAGATACTCTAAGGATGTAGGTTCAGGGAGCTTCTGAGATAAAATCTGTCTGCGGATGGATACACCACGTTCTTGAGTCTCCATCATCATTTCCAATTTGTAGGCAGGAATGTGCTTAGCATTGACAAGGTTGATGACCTCAGCATCAGTGAGAAATTTTGCACCTTTCTAGATATATTGAAAAAAAAAAAAAGATGCTTTGATTGCATGGTAGAAACTGGAAGTACAACTATTTTTCCAGTGTGGAAAAAGATGCCCTTTATTTCAGAATCAGCAGATCAACCTTTTGAAGAGATATTTCAATATCAATATGAGATTTGCAAGATGCAGAAACATTCCAACTTAACTTCTGGTTTACTTATATCAGTTATAAATGCATGTGACAGTGAACAGGCAAACTCTGCACTAGCAATGAAAGCCTTACACTTCTCTTTTCTCACCTCTGTATTTTGAAGTATACAGAGACATTCTTCAATAGAACGTGGGTCTTTGGGTAATTCAACTTCAGGCTCTTTTCTATTAAATGAAGAAGTTTCCACTGGGGCACAACTACCAACAACAAATGTAGCTTTGACTGATGACTCTGCTAATACAGGTTTTATGACTTCAGCTGCATAAAGACAATTAGAAATAGATTTTAGGTTACCAAAAATTTAAAGCAGACAAAATATTTTTGGTTATAAACCAGATCCAGTATTAAATTAATTATTCAATACAGATGTACAGGATCAGGCCCAAAATCTAAAGATACCCTAAACAAAATTACCATTTCCCTCTTTGGAATTTATAGCTTCTTCACCCATGCTGGATTTCTGATTATTTTGTAAGAGTCCAGATTGTCTTCTGCAGCAGTTCTCAGGAATCTTTTTCTGGATCATCAATGGAGATGTTATAGGGTTTTTCAAAGAGAGCGTAGACTCAGTTTCTGTTTGTTCAAAGAAGATGTATTTCACAGCAAGCAGAAGGGCTAAACCAAGAGTGATTACTTGCTCAATATCCATACTTGCCATTCTAAAGAAAGAATGCAAAAAACACCAAGTTAAAATGTGTTTTAGAAATGTATTGATGCAGCATTGTAAACCCCCTGCCCCCCCAGAATCTCACACAATAGTTTAACAAGCAAAACAGAAGACAGTATCTATCTCAAGGAAATGGTACAAAACCAATCTACAATATATCTCTGCTAGCTAATTTTATATTTCTGTTCTGTATTTTATAAAATATACCGTATCTTCATTAGTTTTAACTAGAACAATATGCTGATCGTATGGTAGGCAGATGTAACTAAGTCAGTCATGCTATCCGCTTTATCCCTGCTTAAATGGAAAAACAAAGCAGCAGAGTCCAGTTTTCAGAGCTAATGGGAATCTACAACTCCCACTAATTCCAGGTGAGTTGTGGGCAGTCAGTACTTCTAACAATCAAACCCACAGTACTTTAATTAGAAAATAAATTTATTTAATGGAGAGATAACAAAGGTAAGTATCTGTTTCTACATTCCTTGAAGGCAGTGAAATCTTGTGCACTTGTTCCCAATGAATACAGAAGCTGGTATGAACAGCTAAATAAACTACTTCAGTGTCAATAAACTCCTAAATCTCCCTCCACAACCAGTTTGCTCAAATTTTATTTCTGTGTGAAGTTTTTTCAGATTTGTGAACTTGTAATTGATGACACACAAAAAGGTCATTCTGCAGTTTTTGTACTGAAGAAAACTGTTCACCGCCAAGCAAAGTATGTTCAACTAAACAAAACATAGGCCCAAGGAAAGAAAGAGAGATCTTGGCTTTAGGAAGGTCACTATTTTGTTCAAACTAGATATAATGATGATATATCTAAGTACATAAATAAAAGAAATGCAGGTGCTGAGAAAATGTAAGTTTTATTTTCAATTATTTCTTGCAATGTCTCTTTATTCATCTGCTACAGCACTCGAGTTAATTACCTTATTTACCTGAATCCAGGATGACTTTGAATTTAAGATGACTCCCCAATAATTAGATTCTATACATGGAAAATTATAAATTTATTATGGCATATGTAAAATTGCTGGTGACTAGCCACAGCCCTCTTTATACTGGCTAGGTGGTGGAGATAGGAGAGGATTTTTTTTTTTAAACCAGTCAAGGTCCCTCATATGCAGGGACTCATAACACAGCCAGATCTACTGAAATTATTATAGCTACACATATCTGAAACTCAAAAAGTAGCTGTAACGACCCTGGAGAATAAGCCTGATAAGTAAAAGATGTAATAAATCTTTTTAGTAGTCAATATTTTCAGCTACCTGGAAAGATAGAACTGCCATAAAGAAACATTAGGTTCAATTCTCTTTGGTGTATTTTCATCCAGTCCCACTGTGTTTTCTGCAGTACTGTTCTGAGCAGATGGTTCTGCTATCCAGCGGCTGTGGGCATGAACAAGAACCAAACCTAAAGACTAATAAAAAAGAAGGCAGTTAACCAGTTTGTTTTTCAGCTATAATTAGTTAACTAATCTAATAACATACAGTAAATTTTTGCTTCCTCCCCAGGCCTCAAAGGTCTGCTTAAAAAATCTGGGCATAAAGTACCATTCTTCATGCCTAAAAGCTTGTCTAATCTCTCTCCCAAGTATACGGTTGAGCCAATAAAAGCTCTCACAAAAAACCTGGTTTCCTGCTTTGATATGTACTTTAATTATGTCCTTACCCTTTTCTAGGAAGAAGGGAAAGGGGAAAGGAAAAAAACCCCAACACATACCATAATCATTTTAACCCTCTGTGTTACAGGGTTTGGCTTATTTTCTTCTTCTTCCAAAACACGGGCAAAGTGACTAAGCTGCCATATGGGACGCCCCTCCCGACTTTCCCGAGAAAGCTGCAAAAATAACCAAAGGTCAGTGCACACAATTAAATAGAACAGGAAGACAGACTTACCTCTAGAAAATTTAATTACTGAGTTTGTCAACAGCAGAGGGCATATCTATGCTGCAAACTTCATGTACCAGACAGCAGAGGACTCAAAAAATACTGTGCTACACAATCTACCCCCTAATCCAGAAGGACTACCTACATTTACTTGCTACTGGAGTGTGGGCTACTTAGTGCTGGCACTCAGCAATGCCAATTAGTCTGTCCAAAGCATCAAAGAAACATGGCTACATTGCTTCCAGTTCCAGGAGATAGCTTGTAGAGAAGAGAGGTGTTTCCAAGGGTGCTACAACCTGGTACAGTAAATTCGCAATGCAGCCATACAAAAAGTTGCATTGGTTTAACTTCAAATCAGTATTTAATTCAGTGCAACCCCCACTATGGGCACTTTTTCACTTAAAAGTTGCTTATTTTGGTTTACTTGAAACCAACAGCAAACCAACTGAAACTAAGCCAGAATATGCACACGTTTAACTAGATCATTTTAAGAGCTTAATTAAATGGGCATAACTGTCTCATGCAGACGCATCATTTGTTATGTTTGATTTACTTAATTATATTAAAGACTCGGTGACAATATATGAAGCATCAAAGAGAAAACTGAGACCCAGACTGAAGACTTCAGCCTAAAATGTTCAACTCTGTGTTTTAAATTAAATCTAAATCTATACAGTAAAGAAATATACAGTGTAACTATGGGAGCATAATCCGATTTGAGAGGTAGTCCAGAAGTTAAACATGAAAACAACTATGAGTTTTAAATACACTAGAAGATTATATTCTATTTTAGCTTTCAATTTCTTGTATTTATTGTAGTCTTTGGCCCAGGTGCATCATAACTTTTAGCTATGATTATGATTTCATTAAAACAAATTAATACACTGAAGGGACACAAACCAAAAAGGGTAGATTTACCCAAACCCAAGACATCTTCAAATTTAAGACAACTGCCCAACAATTAGATTCTATACATGGAAAATTATAAATGCATTTTAATTTTGTACATATAGAATCGAATTAGTGGACGACTGTCTGAAACTTATCCCTCCTACTGCTACGGCAAAGAAAGCAGTGGCAGGGGGCAAGGGGCCAGACCTTAGCCTCTTGCTCCCCTGCCCCTGTCTGTGCCTCCCTCTCCAGAGCCCGTCCACTCTGCTCCTCCATGCCTGTGCCTGTCCCTCCCAATCCCTTGCTCCTCCCTACTCCTCCCTGCAGCCTGCACTTCAACCCATTACCCCCCTCCCACCTCTGTAGCATGTTACCCCGTTTTTAAAAGCAGTAGCTAAACAAAGAAAATTATGGCATAGACATTAAGCCACTGTGCTCTAATACTGTTAATGTGATCTTGAAACTGGTCTTACCTCTAAGACCAAGGACACACAAGCTGGAAAGAAGGTCATGAAAACGAAGTAGTTGGCAAGAACTGACATGCAGCCAAAGCAGCACATGATTTCAAGTTGTCGTACTCCTATACACACACACACACACACACACACAAAAGAAAAAGGCCAAATCCTTACATTTTGGGAGCACAACGTAAGTTTCCACATACAAAACATGTTTACAAGGCTAACAGGAAAAAAAAACATTTTGCTGACTTGCTATATCACAGAAAGGACTGTTTTTTCCTTTGACTGAGAAAAGTGAATATATGATAAAAAATAGCTCTGTATTTGTTTTTAAACAGATGCACTAAAATATTTTTAGAACTTTCTAAATCTTCTATTAGGTTTTACAGTGTATAATGTGCCTCTAGGAATGAAACAAACTGTGTAGTTAAGCGTTAAAATATATTATTACTGTTCAAACTCTAATCATAGGACTAGTCCCAACTTTTCAGGCTTCAGTTTTCAATTTCCATTCCTCTGTCTAGCAGCAATAATAAACTTTAATCCATGATATTTTGGAGAGTCAAGTATCCAAGGAGTCAGGAACATTTGCCTGCAGCTACTCTTTCATAAACACTGAATGCTAACCAGTTATCTCATCTTTCTTTCTAATTTTTGTGTTATAATCCAAAACCAAAAAAGTTCCGGAAGCAATTTAAAATGTCAGTATTTGTCTAGTCATAAACACTGCAAAAATGATACAATTATAATAAAGGTACATTTAAAATAAACTGAATCTTAAAAATGGCAACAGCAACAAAGTTTAAAGGTATTCTTCACAGGGAAAAGATAGCCTTGGGCATTTTTCAGATGTACCAAAGTAGCCCAAAAGGTTTTTCTT